GTTTCCGGAGGAGACATTCCCGTTCCAGGTGGTGACAGCTCTTCATTGTTAGCAAAATCTTTCTCGAGAGAAGAATGCCAATCAATCATAGACATGACCCCTCTCTCCTACCATTTAAACTCTTGGAGAGAATCCCACTGATGAAGAAGACCCAAAAAAACCATCATGAATGGCTGAGTCACTCTGGCTCACCTTTTCTTTCAAATCTTATGGGGGCTTTCATACTTCGGAATACTCGAGAACAAACTGCTATCAGTTGGATTCGTAAACTCGAACCCGGCTCTGTTTTTGAACCCCAGCCAGAAATCGTTCCCATACCATGCCCCAAACTGCGCTGTGAGCTTCATAGTTCTAAACTCCTTGACATTCATCCCTTTAGGAAGTCTAACCTCTAGAAAATGTGGCAGAACAATGCGTCGAGCATCATCATCATCCTGATTAGCTCTGTCTTGTTGATTCCGAGAACTGTATTCGGTAGCCTTCTGCAGGTAAGCAGTAGCAGCGGCATGATAATCATGATTAGCTCCGTCTTGTTGAAATCGCAAACAGTATTCGATAAGCTTTTGCTGGTAAGCAGTAGTAGCAGCATCATAATCATGATTAGCTCCATTTTGTTGATTTCGAGAACGGTATTCGGTAAGCTTCTGCCGGTAAAACGCGTGAAAGGGATCTGACCTCCACATGAAGTTGTATCTTGCATCATTTTCACTCAATTGCATCATCATCCTCTCAACCACGAACAACCCCCCCCCCCCCTTTGGAAATGTAACTCGCCATCAACTCCATATCGTTTCTGATGATACCGAGAGGTGGCTCTGTGACTTGTGAACTAGTATTTATTGCTACATCAGCATCAAAATCATCAACAATAGCTCCGTTTTCTTGAATCTGAGAAAGGTATTCAGTAAGCTTCCGCTTGTAATGTCCATGTAAGGGATCTTATGGGCTCCTCAGAAAGTTGAGTTTTTCAATGTTGTTCATCATCCTCTTCTCATACTTCAACCCGTTTTTCGCAATGTAACGTGCTATTCTCTTGACAATTCGCTCATCATTAATAACGGAATTTGTAGAAGAATTTATCAACAAACAAACCAAATCAACTCAATGTTTATTAGAACAAAGAATCGACACTTACAATGGCGAATCCCTCAAAAGAGAAACGAATTAGCACAAAGAAGATTTACAATCTGGAAACCCAGCGAATTTGAGTGAAAAAGTTGTTACAATTTCATAAATTGAATGAATGAATGACTAAGAAGAAGACGAGCTCGAGTATATCTGTTCTTCCTCCTCCTTGCTTTACTAAACACGTGTCTTTTTCTTATTGGTTTCCTCTTTATTTATGTTATTTGCATTTTTAGTCCTTTAATTTCTTCCTCTTCCTATTATTTACTCATTTCTTCTTTCCTGTAACAAA